TTCAACTGTGTGAATCTTTGTACTTTGTGTCTTATTTAGTATCAGTTGGCTCTTATTAGCGTTTGCTCATTGTTAGCATTAGCTCATTGATAGCCTTAGCTTGTTCATGGCGTTAGCTAAAGGGGGCTGCAATGAACTTAGCTGGTAAACCGATACTGAAGGCCCAGGCAACAAATGCACGGCCCGCCACTCGTTCAACCCTCATCACCACTAAAAGTCCAACTGTAGAGACCTCCTCACAAGATGGGGAGCGAGGGTTCTCCCTGACCCCCACCTTCCCCAACGAGCATGGGTGGGGGTAGTTAACAGGGAAAGTGATCCCAAATACAAACAGACAGAGTGCCCTCTCTTAAGATCAGGGGGCCCTTGGCCCTCAGTACTCTGGTTGTCGCTCTTGCCTTGGCCCTAGAAGTACACCCTAGCCACCCTTGGTCCACTCGGAGTACAGAACACATACACACTACGCCACCACAGCTGTCAAAACCCCGTCGTCTTAATCAATCCTGGATCCACAACCCTGTCAGACCCAGACACAAGATGGATGCAGAAGGGGATGACTCTTGACCTCTGCCAGGAGGGAAGAATAAGTTCTATGTGCCCCGTCAGCCCCCTCACCCCCACCCCATCCCCAAACATCCACCATCGGCTCTGCTGCTGCCCCCAACAATGATGGAGGAGATCCCATTCATCCAGGGCTGGGAACCAGGGGCCAGTGTGCCCTTGTAATCCCTCAAACACACAAAACAACCACAGGTACATGAGTTTTGAGATAAACAGACTTGCTGTTCTCTCTGCGCTGTAGAAAGCTTTTAATGTCCTGAATCCAAACTTTATTAAGTCACGCATTTATTACTCTTGTTAAAATAATTTAGGATGCCACAAAAGTCTGGCTAACAGTAAAAAACCACGGCTCGCCCGTAAAGTCAGCACACTTCTGTTTGGGCCTTTTGGTCAACGCGTCCCGAAGAGCGAAGCCTCTTTCTCATAAAGTCTGTCGCTCATGGGAACATTAACCCGCTCGTCAGAGTAAATGAAGACCAGCCTTCTCCACAAAAGTGAAATGTTAGAATACTGTGACTGAAACTCAAAGTTAATGGAGTTTCTGGCACTGTTAACTTAAACACAATTAAGCAGATGCAGTGATATGTGAACTAAATGGATACACTGGCTCTAAAAGCAGCAGTGCCAGGCTAAAGCTGGCAAATTCAGCGACCTTGCATTAGTATCAAAAAAATCAATGAATCTGAGTCCACGCTGCCTTCAAACGCTATTCATCCTAACAGGAAATAAACTAGCAGGGAGGCTAATTTAATGCTACAAGCAAACCTCACCGTCTGCTGTAAATGTCATTGTGTTTAAATAGCACAAGATATTTTAGTTACTTGCTTGACAGAATGCTAAAGAACAATTATTTATTTCCTTAAAAACAACAAACTTTTTTCCCTTTCCTCTTTGATCTGCTTCACACAGCCACAGTTTAGACCACAGCCGTCTAAACCAATAAAAATATATGGAACTCTTCCAGGAACCTCTAGAAACTGGACAAACACACCAAGAACAACACACACACACACACACACACACACACACACACACACACACACACACACACACACACACACACAAGTCCATCTGCCGATCAGTCAATGGTTTCTCTTTCTGGCGACACCCCCGAGCAGTCAGTCGTACCCCTAAATCACCAAACCTGTTTCTCGTGCAATTAGTCCTCCGAGATAAAGGCTCCCTCGTAAATTAAGAGATGTGTGGTGGTCCCCCCCCCCCCCCCCCCCCCCCGCCCCCGTTAATCACCCATGCCCGCCCTCTGACCCCACAGATGCAGCTCACTGGCTCTGGTGTGTGACGGTGACTGGAGGTATCATCCCTACAAACCGACAAAAACGCCATGTGGTCCACTAAACAACTCGCCTGCAGACCTAAACCAGTCGCAGTAGGAAGGTTTGCAGCTCCAACACAACAGCAAAAGGGCAGCAGGAGCCTCCTTCCATTTCTTTAAAAGCTTTTGGAAAACACCAGACCTGAAGAATGAAATGTTAAAACATTTGGATGATTTAAAGGACTGGGGGCAGATTGTGAAGGGGCACATAAAAATTAAAGGCAACATTTAATCACATTTAACTCCCATAACCATAAAAAAGGGCAGTATCACTTTTTCTCTACGTTTATTTAGGAAATACATTATTATGTCTAACGGGCTCCACACACGGGAGGTGACATAGCCTCTTCATTCATTTTCAATGAGATACGCACAACAAAGCAATAATCGCGGGTCTCCCTCCCGCTATGCGACGTGAGGAAAAAGTGCACAGGCAAGCCAACAATGTGATCCCTAAAAGTTGAGTAATTTCAACTTTTCGTCGCTGTAGCTCAGACAGGGACCAGTCAGCTGTGATTTCATTGACTGACCAATGAGAGGACAGGTTGCTTCTAAGTACATCTCCGGGCAAACATGGAGGAAAAGTTAATACTTGCCGTGTCGATTTTCCCGAGCTTTAAAGCATTTATACAAAAGAATATAGAGATCTTCACAAAAAGGCAGCAGCACGGGAAACCGTCGGTGAGTTGGTTGTTGGTGTGGTCTCATATTCACCGGGATGAACCCATTCACGTATTTTTTATATGGTAAAGTCAGAAGTAAGACTTAACGTAAGTCTAGCAAAACCTTGTGAGACTTCTAGGGATGTACATAGTTAACCGGTTAACCTGTTAGTTATGAATGTGGTAATTATGCGGTTAACTGGTTAGTTGTTGTTCATGTTGTAAGCAGGTAAAATAGTTTTGCCAGGTTAAAGTGTCTTTCCAGAGTTTTTCCCTTTCAGAAATTTTGTATGATTTTTCAGAAATCCGTAAAAGTGATTATCTCGTCATATAATGTAAGCAATACATCTTTATTTATTTATTTTTTTGCTAGGCACCCCCGCAGAGCTCCGTGCAATAGGAAACTTAGCACCGACCAGAACTAACCAATAGCGTTAGACTACCGCTTACCTGCTTCATATTTAAGGAATACCTCGGCTGATGCAGAGTTGATGAACTTTTCACGGACAATAAAGTCTAAAATATATAAGTATATGAAAACACAACATGACATGAGAATAATACTTGTAAAACTGCGAGTTTTAGCTCCGTTTGTCGGCCACAGAAGTACATTTACATAAAATAAATGTGAAGTCGCCAACTTAAAAGGACGGATCAACAGACTATTTGTGTCATATGCTTGTCAGCCACTAGATGGTGCCATCGGATAAGAGAAATACTCCAGAAAGAGACTAACTGCTTCAAGTCCTTTTGCTGGGCTTGGGTGTATTATATTTTGTGTCACTAGAGAGCGCAAGAGCGCTGCTATCAAAATACGTTTACTAGGCAACTGCAGAAGAAGAAATGAGCTCGTCACATGACCAAACACGTGCTGAAACACGAAGCGGTTAGCAAAAAGTACAGCATGGGAGCGGTTTATTCTTAGTTGCTTCATTCGTGGAACACAATAAGCCTCACATCAAAGTGCTAAGCCTGGCAAAACATGGTGCAGCAAACTGAACTGAGACCAGCAGCAGGTCAGTCGGCCATGACACTCCTGCTTGCGTCTGACTCCTAATTTGTCTGTTAACATAAAGAAAAGTCAGTGTAATTATTTAGTTCAGTGTAAGGAAACTAAAGTGCGTTTTCAACCGTGGCCTCCAGAATGCGCTTTTAAGCCCGCAATCACATGCATCACTGTGTATTTGATGCCAGGCTGCCCGCTACTCAACAAGTACTGAGTCTGACGGACATTTCAGCTGTCATCCTGCTCTCTCTTTACTTCTTGTTCACAAATGTAACGAGTGTAGATGGAAAAAGCATTATTATTCATAGAGAGGGGGCAAATGTTTGTGTGCATTGGTTTCCTGTTAACCAGCTATTACCCGTTAAAGGCGTCAATAACAGGTTAAAGGAATTTTGGAAAACGTGCATATCTACTGCGTTTTTAACTCTGAACTACTTTAATGACCCAACATTCCCTCCAATCTGACGGCCAATCAGAACAATGGAAGACTCGTTATTCTCCCTGGTGCATCACTGGCTTTTGCCACTGGCCGCCACCACATGTCGCCTCCCGTGTGTCGAGCCCATAAATGTTTGACCATTAATCCAAATTACCTACAAATCTAAATAAACTGAGTTTGATTTAAATAGTCAGAACCAAGTCATAACATATAAATGTGTAATAAACAGCCTAGCTGCAGTGATGGAAGTAGCCGACCACACTCGCCTGGGATGGAGAGACCTCCTATCTCACGTCTCAGAGACTCTTACTAATATGCGTTGTGAACCTTATTAATCAAAGCTAAACGCAGTAAACTGCAGCAGTTCTTTGATGTATTACGTTACAATCCACACCCTGTATAAATGTACCATCATGGCTCCAGTTGAAAAGAAGCACCGTGAGCTGACCTTAACCGTGATTAAGGTGTAGGGTGTGGAATCAACGCAGTCTGCTAATCAGATAATTGTCCAGAAAAGGCTAATCTCCAAACTAGATAGCAATCCAATCCCACAACGGCGTATTCCCACTGCTCTCATGCATGCTTGGAATTATAACCCCCCCCCCCCCCCCCTGTAGGGAGCTAAAGAAAGAGCAGGTGGGGGTGAAATGCTCAGTGGTGGTAGCTCAGCTCTACCCTCCTCTCCTCTAGTTTCACCAGTTCTCCTGGGATACGTCCCTTCGCACAACACCTCCTAGAGGGCCTGCTAATTACTCCATTTGCAGTCATTGCTGCCTCTATTGGCCAACCACACGCTGGAAAGAAGAGTGAGAGAGCGAGGAGATAAAAACGTCCAACAGAGCACAAGGTGGTTAAATCCAGGGAGGAGAGGGAAGGACAAAGAGAAGAAAGCACAGGGAAGATGAATGAATCCGAAGGGGAAATAACTCATCCAGGGGAATAGAGCACTCAGGGTTAGAGAGAAACAACAAAAAGGACTTTAAAACCTTCAGTTTTTACCTTGGCATTCCGAGTTGCGGTCCTCATATCCAGGGTTGCACAGACAGTTCCCTATGGGCACCAACCACTCTCCATCAGCTCCACAGTACATCTTAGGAACCTCCTTCTCTTCTGAATTATCCACACACGAGCCCCGAACTTCCACCAGTGAGGATGTATCAGCCCCAGTGATGGTGTCAGGAAACTGGGCCAGGTTGCGCACGGACAGAGGACATTTCTTGTAGAAGACTCTGACAGAAACAAGAGCAATGCATGCTCCAACATCCTGGAATGCCAGATAGAAACCCTTCCGGGTCAAGGCACCCACATCGCGGACCTCCGTGTTCAGCTTCATGATGCGATCACCAATGTCCACCTGAGTGAAGCTCTCATCCGCAGCAATGGTGTCTATCTTGCTGAACTGGTTCTCACGAATGTAGCGCTCTTTGTCGTTGTTGGATTCATAGTAGTAGAGATTGAAGGTCTCTTTGCAGGTTCCCACGACTCCCGGTAGACTGTTGCAGTCCCGAAGAGTGAACTTGATCTCGATGTAGACACGCTGGGCACCTCCGCGGGGGATCCAGTCCGTACGGAGCCAGTTGTTCTGGTTCGACTCCATGACATTACACACCTGGTACGTCCGGATGGGGATGTTCTTTTCATCCATAATGCTCACTTCCTCCCACTGGGGACAGAAAAGGACATGATACAAATGTAAATGTTCAAAGTCTGCGTTTTCAATCCAAGACTAATGAAGCAGTGAGAATGGAGTGTCGTCTTTGGACCTAGCTGTGTGTACATGGCCGTTAATCCCGTGGGAGCGTTTGATTTGTCTTGTCAATAATGGCGTCACAGCAGATGAATGCATGTTTTATGTCTGACACCGAGTAGACCTGTCAGCTCTTAATACAGACCCAGAGAGCGGCTGTTATTCAGCACTTTTCCTCAACAATCAGAAAGGAAACGTGTGCAGTTAGCTCTGCGCTCCATTGATCCCCCCCCCCTTTACAATCGTAGCTGCGTGACATGGGGGTAGGTAAATGCTGACTGCTTAAGAATTCTGCGGACGGTCTTTGGACAAGTGCTAATGTTCTAATGTGTGCAGGTCTGCTTTGTGTCTGCATGACGGAGCGGGGCCAGGCGACATGTTCACTGATGTTGGAGGGAACCCATGGAGAGGGAGGGGGACACTGACGCGATGCTTATGGATTACTTTACCCTGCACCACTCGGCTTATTTTGCCCAGAGCCAATGTTTGTTTTACTTATGACAGAGTTCCCCTCTCGACAGAGCGCCGCTGAGCAAATACGAGCCTGCGCTCAGAGGCTCAAAGCAGTGTGCTCCCTTGGGTTTTTTACTGAGTGTTTTAAATAGAGTCTTTGACTGAGCTGGGCTGTAAACAGGAGCGGACAAGCCTTTGGCTGCTGCAGCTTTAACCATTCAGAAGTTTGTATAAAATAAACACAGCAGGACGATGGGAGATATGGCTGATTCTGCAAGATACGACCCGATGTCTAATCGTAAACAAGCTGGATTAAAACCCCATTCCCCAGGAGTAAGTAGGTTTAAGCCTAAATACAGCTGCAGCCGTATGATGTGGGAGAACGCCTGCCGTTCCCTGCTGTTCCACCCCCCTCTGCCGTCTTCCCTTCGCCTCCCTTTTGTTGCGGAAATCTAGTGGAGCTGAGATAAGGCTGCGCCGTTCCCTGATAGCAGGAAAGAGGGAGAATGAGATCAATTGGTCATAATGAGAGGGGCAATGCAGACCTGCAGGCCTGCCAAGACCCTGTCAGTCACCTGCTTGTGATAAAACAGCTGACTGGACGACCTGAGTGCAGCACAGGTTCGGTTAATGAGCAGACGTTGCAACAGCTGTTTAAAGCAGGCTGCTGGGCTGACTTTCATTAGCAGGTGTAAATGTGGCTAATTTATATAAATGTTTAAATCCAGCGAGAGGCTCGTGTGAACTTTAATTAGTGCACGCTGAACAAATGCAGGAATTTTAAGCTATTATTCATTGAGACACTGAATAAATCTGAACACTTCTGTATGAATTTGTCGAGACATAACTGAGTTAATGCCAGAAAAGTAATGATGATTATGGAGAAGAATCCTAATCGTGATCGATGTTTATTTTAGACCGTTGGCTGGGATTTATTCCTCCTATTTAGGGAATGCTGCCGTTAGACTGTTCATCATGGCCTGTGGTCCCTTTAGCAGCTGCTCATTCTTATAAAGATGTGACATTTGAATGATTATCGTTATTAGTTTATTATTGCGCTTCAAACGTTACTTTTATAGCAGAAGTTTGAAATCTAACATGGAGTCACATTAGGCTGCACCAGTGGCAGCATGAACCAGCAGACCTGCCAGCTGGGGAACGTAAACACATTAAAATGTGTCAACATGCAGAAATAGACCCGTCTGCAGGAACGACACAGAGCGTGCTGACCTGAAAATAACGGAAGTCTGTTTTCCTACACGTGTTTTTCTGTGTTCACTTTGTAAAACACCACGAGACGTTTAGTCTTCAGAAGAGATGGAAGCGTGCGTCTTTTTGGAGGCACGTCAAAATAAAGGAGGGCTTCCAAAATGTTGTATAATTCTTTGTAGTATTACTGTTTCATTTGATGCTGTTTTATGATAACTAGGGGCAGAAACCGAGTCTTAAAACCAAACTGGATGAGTTGCCTTTAGCAGCAGGACCACACTCGGCTGGTTTTCAGGAGTATCTGTGAGCTCTAGTGGTCCTGCAGCCACAGAGCTGAGGCCTGAGCTGCGTCCCTCCTGCATTCATCCATTCTAGACGAGCCGCCGTCGGCTGCCAAGTTCCCCTCTCCCTGCTCAGCTGAATGGCGGATATAAAGTTTCTCCACAAAGACTGATTCAATCCACCATCTATTCAGGAAACCTGACGCCCGCTGCAGTATCAGCCTCCACATCTGACCATTACAGAGTGGTTAGAGGAAGGGGAGCGAGGAGGGAGGGGGCAGGGGTCGGGACGAAGGGTACCAACAGAGCTATAGGGTTCTCAAAGTGGACGCAGGGCCTCGCAGGTGTTCCACAGGGTCACACAGTAGAGTAGCGAAGTAGAAAATCCTAAATGCACATTAGTAAAGGTTAGAAACCTCCCACAGCATTCCGGTAGGAAAATCATTTCATTTAAAGGAACTTTAGATATTTCGCTCCATTGGCTGGTGTGATGACACACTGTTAGACGCGGCTGTAATTTCTACAGTAATTTACCACATATCTTATGTACTACGCTGTAAAACAATTTCTACAGTTAACTGTAATTTGCATTGCACCATGAGAGTTTGAAGTCACGTGGTAATTAGTTGACAGTTTGCTACTGTAGTTTATGAAAATACAGCAAGGTACTATAAACTGAGTTATTTAATTATGACTGCAGTCATAAATAAATACGTTTAACTCCTGAAAACTGGACTTCTTCCATCTGAGTTCTGATCTGATGATGACAAAAATATTAGAGGGAAATGCTTCATTTTTAAGAAACAGTTGCAAAGCTTGTCCAACATTTTTTAGATCTGTTAATAAAAATGTCACGTTTTAATTTGCAGCTAAAGATTTTATTGCCCGTAGCTACAGGTTTAGTTTGCATCCTGATGCTGATCATTGCTCTTCCGGACGCTTTTGTGTTCAAGCCTGATAAACTAACGGACATCTGGGCAGTTTAACACCACAGGAGGACACCGAGTCTTTCTTCCTAGATCTCATCTTTGCGGTACTCACCCCTCCTTCGGTCGGGCTCGCGACCCATCCCAGCTCCCCCTGAACAGATCTGGAGTCCAGCAACGTGACTGAAAACAGAAAAGCGACAGAAGAGTCTCAGACTGTCCGTGCAGCAACACCTTCATGACCCAACCAGCCCCAATCTATATAAAATGTGCCACGTCGTTTATCTGCAGATGAACGTTTTCCTGCTTTTTTCTTTTATGTGGATTTATTCTGACTGCCAAACACCTTCCTTTGTCCGAGCAGGATTTCTCCTTTTGCTGTCCGGCGGCTTTAATGTGGACTCTGAGCTTAAAGTTTTCAAATATAATTAAGTAAACAAATACACAAATTAATGAATAAATAAGTAAATAAATACATAAATATATTGAGGCTTTAACATCCTTTGGAACAAATTTGGACCTAAATGCAACAGAAGGGGTCCATTAAAAAATAACCGGTGCGTAAAACCTTTCATTAGCAGACGAATTATTTTTAACAACCTCCGAATAATTGCAGAACGTGTTATTAAATAAACGAGCCTCGTTTAAACCGATTTCCATCATTTTATAAATAGAATTAATCTGGCGCGTGTTTGTGTTCTCGGACGCGGCTGTACCGACACCGGGACTGATGGAGAGGAGACGCGCCTACATAATACGTTGGTTTTCTGATAATCGTTCAGCAGAGCGAAAACCCGCTCTGATCCGCGGAGAGTGGAAAAAACACAGTTTGGCCTTTTTCGTGAACATAAAATCACAACAAGTTTCTGACTGGAGTGAATCGTTTCTGCTGGAAGCGCAGGTCCAACTCTGGAGAATTTAAAGCACCAGCGCGAGCCTGCTACGGCTGATCCATGCGAGTCTTTCACCAAATTTACTTTATTTTACTTCTCTGGTGAAGTGTTTGCTTTTTGGTTTGCAGCTAGTCACATTTGCGCCCCTTTTAGCTCCACTTTGGTTCCGATAACAACCGACAAGTAGCTGTGCGTCCAGGCTCCGTGCAGCTGGACCGATCCGAGCGCGCGCTCGGACTTCTCATAGTATTATCCAAAACAAGCAAACCAGACTGCTGCGTAAAAGCGAGTCGCTCTTTTCTGGTGTTTCACTCAGACGCGAGTCGGGGGCCCCGGCTGAGCCAGACTCTGAGACTGAGCGGGGATGAAGAAGTCCGCGCCGGCTCCGTCCTCCAGCCTTACCTTCATTTTGGGGGTAAATCCGAGCAGAGGAACCAAGAAGTGCTGAAACTCCAGAAACCAGAAAGGAGACCGTAAACCAGATTCCTGCCATGAGTGCCATTTGCGTCGCTACTCCGCTTTTCCTTGCTTCTTGTGCTCGTCTTCTCTTTGGTCCCTCTCTCTCTCCCTCTCTCTCTCCCTCTCTCTCGTCCGTCCAAGTGGAATCCGGGTTTAAAGCGGACGGCTGGACAGAGACGAAGCGAGCGCTCCGGTCAGAAGGCGGGTATGTGTGGTCTGACGCGCACCCCTGTCAGTCCGGACCTGAGGGACAGAGGAGCAGCGTGCAAATAATCATTAACTGGCCCCGCTGCACGCTCCCACACCGCCACCCCCTCAGCCAGCAGCAGCACAGAGAGAGAGAGGGAGAGAGAGAGAGAGAGAGAGAGAGAGAGAGAGAGAGAGAGAGAGAGAGAGAGAGAGAGAGAGAGAGTACCTAATGAGACCAACCTGCAGCGCAAACTCTGATTCACCCAGAGATTCCAAAAATAAACTTCTGCACTTTGATCTTGTTTCTGTCCTGTGAAAACAACCTGGAAACACGCGCGCGCGCACTTTGTTTAATGAACAAAACGCATCCGGCATTCTAAATGAACAATCAAGGCTGCCATCAACCACTCGGTGGAAGAGTGAAGTGAAGCTTGTTGAGCTGTGCGCGGATTGTACACGTCCTGTCTGCAGCCACCTTATCAGCTCAGCAGCGCCCCCTGGCGGCGGCTGCGCCGTGACCTCCCCAACGTCAGACAGTAATGCGCCTTCAGAAGTCACCAGTGGTTGTGGAAGGATGGGCTCGTGTCGGATTATTGTCACTGGGTTCCATTCTCTCTCTCTCTCTCTCTCTCTCTCTCTCTGTTCTTTTTTGTTCCATTTTTTTTCAGTGCAGATTTCATCCACAAAAATTTCGTGATTGAAATGTTCACTGTTAGGCATAAAGCACACGCACACACACACATGCATGTTGTTAGGGTCATGACTGAAAGTGTGTTTTAAGAAAGCCACACTATGCAACTTCTTCATATTTTTAAGCCATTTTCTTGAGCCACTATGTGCTAAAATGACCCTTTACAGAGTTAATGAAATGTCACTAAGATCCTCAAAAGCCCTCTGTGGCCACAATATTGCATTTGCAACTTCAGAGTGGCAGCAGACACCTGTTGGACTGAGTAAAGCGGAGCTGACGTACTAGTCACTGCAGTCTGGATCCAGCACATTTCCTGCATGTTTTAAATAATGAACACAGCTGGTTTGTTTGATTTGGTGATGAATCGCCCCTGTTGACAAGGCTGGGGAGACATCTCAGCAGTAGACATGTATGGAATTGCTTCAGATGGGGGCTGAATTAATGTATTCTAATTTTGACATTAAATTGACCTTTTTAGTAAAAAAAACATATTTAACACAATTAACAGACAGCTAAATTCCCTTCTGCAAATGCACGAGGTAATCATGAGGCGCTCAGTATGTTCAGACCTACGTGCCTGATGGTAAAACCACCTCCATCAGAGAGCAGGCGTTTGGTCTTCTGCTGCAGCCAATAACATGCAGGCATCGATGCTGCTTCTGCAGTTTCCTCCCAACAAAGACCACATTGTTCGCATCTGAGAACAGCCAGCTGTGTCCAGGTTTGAGGCTTTGTTCTGGGTGCTCTCCTGCTTTCATGTCCTCCCACACAGGTCGCCGCCGCTCTCCCATGAGATGAGATGGGCCCATTGCTGCAGTTGGCAGGAGACGGTCTCTGCGTGGGCAGGCAGGGCGTTCTGCATCAGCTGCCAGTGAGCACAAGCACAGATCTACAGCATCAGCTGGTACCGTTTGAGTTTTGTCTCATGAATGTAGCCATCTAAACTGGGGATGCACAATATATCGGTGTCGGCTGGTGTCAGTCATTTTTTAACATATAGTATCGGGCCGATAAATAAAACTGGGGCCGATAATAACAACCGATTTTATTTCCATTTGTTTATCTGTTTCAGAGGGTGAGGGGGGTTATGTGTAATTGTTTAGTCGTGTGACGGTGTTTGTAATCATCTCAGAAGCGTAAATGTGTGTGGTGTGTGTACACAGCTTTAATTCTTTTCATTCTATACAAAGTCTGCGGATTTTAGAAGCATTAATGTAAGCATATCGGTATCGGCCCAAAAATTTCATATCGGTGTATCTCTAATGTAAACGTTAGACGTGTATGCATTTATATCTAACCTCAAAAGCAATCAGATCAGACTGTTGTGTTAGTGTGAGATCATTTCTGCACACTCAACAGGTGTCTGACTAGCCCTCTGTGAGTGGCGTTATGCACAAATGCATCCTTTCAAAATATTTTATTCCAAAATCATTTTCTAGTTTTTTTTTTTTGCACACAGGACGGAGGTACAGTGGTTAGCACTGTCGCCTTCAGCAAGAAGGTCCCAGGTTCAAACACCAGCCTGGGGTCTTACTGCATGTTCTCCCTGTTCAAGTGTGGGTTCTCTCCGGCGTCCTCCCACAGGCCAAAAACATGACTGTCAGGTTAAGTGGTCTGTCTAAGTTATCTTTAGGTGTGTGTGTGTGTGTGTGTGTGTGTGTGTGTGTGTCTGTGTTGCTCTGTGATGGACTGGCTCTCTGCCCAGGGTGTACCACCTGTATGCCTGTAGACTGACAAGCGGGGATGGATGTCTGAGAAATGTGTGTGTATGCAACACGCATGTGGCAGTGTACCTATGAAGACTGGGATGGATGGAGCTGGTGTTTAGAAAGTCCTCCTTGTGTCATTCATGTAGGAGGGATGTGCCTCATCCTTCCTTTGTCCATCAACACCCTCAGCTTGAGTCAGCTGCAGGCCCACTGCAGGACATGTTTTCAAATCTCAGTCCTGAGGCTAACTCTATGACATGTATGGATTGCTTGTACCATTTTGTTGATTTTAACTACTTTTACTAGATTTGGTGTTGTTTTCATAACTGTGTAACTTTCGTCTGATGCTTGCCATTGACCATCTTGACCAGGTCTCCCTTGAAAAACAGGTTTTTAATCTCAATGGGATTTTATTCCTGGTTCAATAAAAAATAAAGTAAAAATCAATGGAGGACACAAAGTATCTGCCTCCTGACAAAGGTTGCTAAACTGGCCCTGAGCATTGACACATTTCTGCTTCAGCCCAAGTTCGATCATCTGAAAACGTCACGAGGAAAGTTGTTTTTAATCCCACCCAGTCCCTGGTAGCAACGTCTGCAGCGGCGATGAATGATGGTGCTGGTGGGAGGGCGGTGTCTCTTTTCTCCCCGTGCTTTAGACAGATTGGTTTTGATTTATTACACTCCCATCGTTTCTTTTATTTGCCTGTCAGATCGGGGCTTTTTACAGGGGAGCAGCAGAGGAACCTCCCCCCTCCCATTTCCCTCCCTTTATAAACCCACTCTGCTTTTTCCAGATGGCATCCACTACCCACACATCTGCATTGTGTGCCAATCACACACCAGCTCCAAATCTTTTGCTTGAATGAACAAGCACACACACACACACACACACACACACACACACACACACACACACACACACACACACACACATACAGAGAAAGAGAGAAGCTCATTTATTCGCTGGTCTGGTTTGCTGGTGATAAATTTGGAAATTACAGGTTTTATTAAACACAAGATACAAGTTATCTCCTCTGAAGGAAGGAAACTAACTTTCTACTTTGTGTGCAGAGCTAGAATCATCTCTGACGTGTTTTTGTCACTGCAATTTTCCTTGAAAAAGATTTTTAAATGGCTGTGCTATTCTAAAAAGCCTCTGCAGGTTGGCATTTTCTGCTTTCTATCACTTTGAGCCCAGAATGGAGCAAATAGTTGCCCTAGAACTGCAGACTGGGCCTGCAGGAGGGCAGTTAACCAGATCAGCTGTCAATGGTGTACCGATCAAATACTGGTAAGTAATCATATCAACATAAGCATTCCTAATGTTAACAGAAGATGATGGGGTTGGTATGGATGCAGCAGCTGTTCTGTTAGTTTGCATGTGAGGGATTAAAGCTGGTGTCACCCGCCTGAAAAAAAGGTTAATATTGTTTAATAGTGACATCATTATTCTTTTCATTTTTAAATATATGTAATGTTAATTTTATTTGGAAAACCCGGAAATGTATTGTGACAGAAACCGGAAGTTTCATCTGCTGATTTAGCGAGGTCGCAGAATATCAGGAGAGCAAAGAGTGAGAAAAGCTCCTGTTCTTTTGGGAGAAGCACTTTTCTGTCCTGCTTCTCTCGTGGAAAGCTTTCTCTTGGTCAAGTCTTTTCTTTTATCTCCTCTGGATGGAAGGAGAAGTGAATAAAACTCCAGTCCTGGTTACTCTCAAGGCTGAACCGTGATTCCAGCCAATGGCGAGCCTCCCATGAATCTATCACATCATTCTACAGATCCAGCGGTTGGACTGGGTCTGTTTAACGAATCGACACCCATAAGGAGCCAACTCTGGATTCCTTCCGTTGACTTGAACTCTGATTGACTCCAGCCGGATCAGTCCTATGTTGAACATTGTGAAGAGACATTTTATTTTGTATATATAGTTCTATAGAGGGGGATGTCGCTTTACACTTTTAATGGTGTTTTTGACTCAGAGAGTCTCTGATGAAGCTCTTGGGACCGCTGGGGTCAACATGAAGTCCTTCTCCAGCTGAGAGGAGGTAGAACTGCGCAAGAGAAAATTATGACATCAACTAATTTGTTTCATGTAATTAATTAACACTAAAGTACTTTTAACAACGACTACACTTTTCTCTATCAACTGACTTGACATGTACAGTTTGGATGCTGAGGGGTTAACATCCCTGATCTGACTGCAGCTGGGAGGAGGACTGCCGTACAAGAACCAGAAGACCAATAGTCTTCTATTTGATCCCAGTATCAAGACCGCACACTGACATGAAAAAGAGTGTTTCTAGACCAACACAAGCACGGACAGAGGAAGCTTGAGAAGGAGCTTTGACTGGCTTTTTCAGCAGAATGTTGGTATCTTCGTCTTGTTTGGAACGCAGGGTGGTGCCGTCTTCACACAGCTGCAAATCTAAAGCAGTTTTGCAGACATGACATTACAAATCTTTCACACCAACAAAACTTTGGCACCTTTGTTTCTGCAGCAAAATTAAGGTTTGGACCTCTGGATTCACAGGAGCAGTTGGTTCTCTTGACACATGTAAATAATCACAGAATTCTATGTAAATAATGTGAAACTGGAGGTGACATAATGGTCATTGGTGTTGTTGTGAGAGGGTTGCTAGATTTGAGTAATGGCTGTGCTTGGGCTAGCTGTTATGGATAAAGCTTTTTCTTCCACCAACAACAAGTAAGACAGTATTATTCATAACCTTTTACACAGAAACATGCTTCAGGATAGCCTTTAGCTCGAAATAAATGAGAAGGGGAATTTCAACAAATCAATTCATCACATATCAGAAACTGACACTTGTCCCCTTTGTGCATCATGTCATAAAGGAGTGCACCACACATTAATTGACCGTCCACACCTTCTGTTTCTCCAACCTACCTGGGTGTAGTTTGGACTTTTGTTCCAAACAAGTGTCCTCAGCCCCCGGCTACAGGCGCGGCCCAAAGCATTCAAAAGACTGGCCTCATGTGGTGTTCGCTGAGTCCAGCAATCAGCAACAGAATCCCAGGAGTTCAAACTGAGAGACAG